TGGCGGGGTGCCGGGGCGGGCCCCTGCACAGCTCCGGAGCTTGGCGGGCTGCTGCTCCTCCTGCCCCTCTTCCCGCTCTCTGCCGGCGCCGCAGGACGAGGTGTTACCGCCAGCTTGGCCGGCGCCGGGCGGGCCCGCTCAGGTGCTGCCGGTGCCTGAACCTGCCGGGGCTGCAGCCCGAGCAGGACTGTGAGCTGGGAGTGCTTCCACATGCTCTCGACGCAGCTGTAGCTGCAGCAGAGCCACCCAAAAGCGACCAGGTGGCTAGGAAGAAACACTTCAGTACTAGTCAAGTCCATGGTGGGGTTAATTAGTGGGATTTTTATGGTGGGCTGACCTGCTTTTCCGTAAGATTTGTATCCTCGCTGGGCCGGCTAGGTGTTGCGAGTCCTTTTACTTAGTCATGAGTCCGTGTATTGTATGTCCTCACGTCAGCCAGGGGAAGTGACGTTTGTGAAGGCTGTGAGATGTATAGCCACAGTGAAAGTCCATATTGTTGCCCTACGATAATGTTCAGATGTGGTTTCTGGTTTAAGCAGTAAAAAAAATCAGTATACGACCTGCGTTGCAGTCATTTTTTTTAAGATTCTGAAAAGGAAAAAAAAAATAGGTTACATTAAATCACATTTGTGAGTCAGATTAATTGTTACAGTAGCATAGAAAACACTAAATTTTAGGAAATTTTTGGTACTGGCTAGTAATTGTATAGCTTAATGTAGAAATTTACCAACGTAGTAAGTTGCAAGCGTTCTTGTGTTTATTATGTTCTGGTTTAGTGTGTGTGCAGAAACCTGCTACTGGAAGAGGATTGCTAGGTCTGGTGGAGGTGGAGAGAAAAGCTTGGACTTCAGAAGTTGTGAGGAGGAGCATGTCGCTCTTTCTCTTCAGGACAGGGTAAGCCAGATAGAGGAAGCCGGAGTTCTCAGAATGGTGGTTTGAGATGTGTCTGTGAAAAGAGCTGCCTTCGGGTACTGCACAGCAAATCTAAATCAGGTTTTTGTTAGGGTTCCCAATGCAGTAAGACCTATTGTGTTTTCTCGATGGGGACTAAAGTGAAATGCAGCTTCTTTGATCTCTTTTAATTGGCAGCTGGGCAAAACCCCAAAATACTTCATGACATTTTATTCCATCTCTGAGATGTGGGCTGTTTCTTTCAAGAATTCACATGGAGCAATATCTCCAAGGTGCATGTAACTGTCGATTAGACCGTGTGACAAAAAATTTATTTTCCTGAAATGCTGTCAGTCTTTTGAAATATGCTTTGTGCTGTACAAATTCAGTAACATTTAACACTCGTTGATTCTAAGTCTCAGTGCAGCTATTAGAAAAGACTCTGCTGATTTAAGTGGGGTTGGATTGGGCCTGTGTTATTCTGCAAATGCTGGTTAAGCTGGCAGGAGCTCATCTTGCTGCCTAGAATCACAGCTTAAAATCGCTCCTTTGCCCACACCCGTCTATTTTATTTTGCCCCATCTTTCTCTCTCATGCATTTTATTTGTGTGTGGAGGAGGTTATCTATACAGAAGTTGAAATGACTAAATTAATTATGTTAGGATTTGAACATTAACTGTAGTTACTTGAAAACCAGCTCTCACGACTTTCTCTCTCTTCCAGATTTCTAACAGAGCAAGGCTTTATGTGTTGGCTTCTTTTTTTTCAGGTTTCCATTTTGTATTGCCATTTCAGCCGTTGCAAGCATGTAAATAGTAGATGCTCTGTTTGGATTCTTGATTTTCATCTTCAGTTGTGCATACTGCTGAGGACTGAAAATAGTGTGGGGGTGATGTCCTAGAGATACCTCATGACACTGGGTTTTAAACTTTCAATGACTGGTATGGCCAACAAGTCCTACTCCAGAGGAGGCTTTGATTTCACGTCTGGTTGGTGGTTGCTGCCACAGTGAGAACAATGACCCAGTGTCCTGCGGTAAAACCTTTTATATAATCTTTATTTAGGAGTTTTCTCTTTTCTCAAGTAAAATCCTTAGAAAGGCCGTGCTGCAAGCGTGACATGTACTTCAGGAGGGAACCAAGCAGTGTTTGTGAAAAGCTGATGTACTCTTCATAGTTTGATTTGCAGCAAACCAAAGGAAAAACTCAAGTTTTCCTAACAGTCTTGTTCGTCTGAAATTGAGTGTGCAGAGACACAGCAAACATTTGGTCTCTTGTTTCATCTAATTGTTGTGTATCATAGAGCTTGCAGATCAAAGTTGTTTGTTAGCATGGTCTTAAGAAAAGCTACTTTCATTAGTAAAAGCAGGACCTCTTGGTTCCTACTCTGATTTACATTCTCCAAGTTTGTTGTTCAAGTAAGATGATAGAGTGAGTCTTGAAGAGCAGAGTCTCTCTCCAGGCGCTGGCTGTAGGCTAGAAGTAAAAGGCTCTGATCCCTCCATCGCTTCTTTTTCTGTGCAGTCTAACAGAGTTACTGAAGGGGTCACCGCTGGTACGCGCAACCTCTCAAGTCTTTGAGTCATCCAACAACATGATCTTATTTTTGTAAGATTACTGTGCCTCTGGGAGATGATTTGTGGCCACTAGTTTCCTTTCATTCCTCTGTTCCTCCAAGGAGCAACACATTTCAGTTGCAACCATTAGATTCAAGGCTTTGGACTCGATATAAGGGGCTCCCATCCCATGAACAACTTCTGTCTTCCAAGCAGTATTCTGTCACGATATCATAGAACGGCTCTGTTTTCAATTAAAGAAAGATGTCTTTATCTTTTCTATTAAACTTGGATGATGGCTTTTAAAATGGATTTTAATCAGTAGAGGTAGACGCTGAGCAGTGTACCCTTTGCTGGTTGCTCTAAGTGGTTCTGTTAGTAGGGACTGTTCCTATGATTGTGGTAAAGTAAGGAAGGGTTGTAAAAACTCTGCTACTAGGAAGTGTTAAAATAATTGAGTCATTACAGTGTATCCTTTGTTGCTGACTAGGCCAAAGCCGAGCCAATTTGTAATTTTTTATTTATGCTGCTGCAGAAATGCATTAGGGCATGGCTCGGTGGAGGATCAAGACCACCTAGACTAGTACACAGCAGGCTACTAGTACAGGCTGATGAGTACACGCATGGAGATGCTGCTTGGACGGTTGCTAGAGGAGCCCTGGTAATCTTCTCACATCACTGTCACCAGTGGATTATTTTTTTCATATTTCTTATTGCAAATATACAACATATATTTTATAACAAGGGAAAATACAGCGTAAGTAACAGTTCTTGAACATCTTGTTGTGGGTGTGATTTGCATGAGTAAACAAGGAATTGTTATGGATGCTTTTGATTTGATGCTAAACTGTGGGCTCTCTTTTTGTCTGTTGAATTTGACCTTTTTTTTCCTAAAATGGCTGTTTCAAATAGAAATGTTATTTGTCACAAACTTTTCTGGGAATCCTATTTGTTCTGTAGACATATGTTTTTTTTTCTTTTTCAGTGACTCTGAGCAACCCTGTGGAAAAAGGTATGTGCATTCAATTTACTATTTGACATTCTGTCCTTGTGTAAAAAGATTCACAAATGTTCTGGTTAAAATATCAAAAATAATTTCCATCAATTTTTTTAAACTTACATACTCTTTCAGTGTTTCCTTCCTGTAATTACACGTTCGTGAAGTATACAGCATCCGTTGTTAGACATGCTATAACTATTTGGATGCTATAACTATTGGAAATACCCCCGTTTAGTCGCAGTATAAGCAGAAGAACATGAAAAGGCTTTGATCCCTTTTACTCTTTCAGAAAAAACTATGTATATCTATCTGTATACACCCACATACCTTTTCTGCCTTTCTGTTTTATGTTTTCAGAGCTGATTTTACAACCTAAACAGAAAAGACTAGTTCTGTTCTGTGGCCTGCCTATTTTTTTTCCACTGTTTTATTTCATCTTTCAGTGAAAGCTATTTTTAATGTTTTTTTGTGGGGAGGCTTTTGCGAAAGATTTTTTGCTTGGTTCTGTTGACCACTAACCATACATGGAGTGGTAACACAGTAACTTTCAGTTACTACCACAAATGAGTTAGAGCAAAGGTTTCAGTCTCATTACTATTTGCCTCGAACACTTCTCAGACTCGTTTGGTAGTACAGGCTGACAGACGTTGTTCTGAGGTCCCTGGCGCAGCATCGTGAGGTCGCTGAATGAGTCGGGCAGAGCAGCAGGATCACTTGACGAGACCGTTTCCACTGGTGCGTTGTTGGAGGCCACAGTCGTGTTCTAAGTACAAGGGGTTAGTGGCCATTGTAGTATTCCTTCTCTTCTTTCCTGGAGGTGCTATGGAGGCGTTTGGCTAATACAGATGGCCTCTTACCTTCATTTCTTCTTCCAGGGTTATGAAGGATAGAAGTAGGTGTAGCAGTTTTCAGCTGGCAAATTGTTCCATGAAGAACAATGCTGGCTGATACTTTAAAGATTCTTCAGATTGCTGCGTCAAGTAAATTCTCTTTCCACTATAGAGCTGTCCCAATATTTGAAACTGTTACAGAGAAACTACAGAAAGCATGATATTAGTGATTATTCAGCAGAAGAAAGTTATTGGTTGCCTCATCTATTAGTACATCTCCAGGTCAGCTTCCTCTAATATGCTGCTGTATTGCTTTATTGACAAAATTAAACCTGTTGCAAGATTTATCTCCTTACATATTAATTTAAAAATGACTGAGCTCCACCTGCATGTAGTACAAGGATAACATCTCAAACTTAAGAGCATAATAATGCATTATCATTGATTCACAGATGATTCACACAATCCGTCACGTTCTTGTGAGGTGTATCAGATCATTTGCCCTCTCATTAGAAAGTCTCAGCGCTGTGTTTGGCCTCTTTACCAAGTACATTTTCACAGAGTCAGTCTTGCCTGAGAAGTCAGGAGGAGTTTGGATTTTAGACTTCTCTTTCTACTAGTAGTAGTTACTTTAATCTTAGTTTCTAGAATTTGAAGCTTAAATGAAACGGGGAAAAAGAGGTTTTATTATTATGATTAAATGGTATGTTTAAATAAAACCGTCTTGTAACTCTTTGATAATGTCTTAGTGAGTTGAGTATTAAAGAAATAACAATCAAATAGTTTGTATAGCTGAAGGATAGCTGTCCTTTGGCTTTCTGAACCGCAGTATGCCTGCTTATGCCCAAAGGCTTTGAAATAAAGTTTGTGTATTGAAATAAGATCACTCTGACATATGCTGGATTTCATGGGATAATGTTGTGTCTAGTGGATTACAATTCTTTCTCAGTAATCACAAGACCTGTTTTGCTCAATTTGAGGGATGTTTTCCTGATTTGTTTTATTGTGGCAACTCTAAAAGATGTTTAGTAAGAGATTTGATATTTTTTCTGGTGATGTAAAGCTCTGCTAGAGCATGTTATTTCTCTCAACTCTCACAAGTGGTGAAGAATGCATTGCACAAGTGGACAGTATGGTACTGCACGGACAGTCTTACAGCGGATACTATGGTACCGTGGTTCTAAGTGCATTTAGTAGCAACTGGACCCAAAATCTGGAGGTGCTGGAGTATTGCAGTATTAACCGTTATGCTGCTCAGCACCAGCCAGTTCTGCTTTGCCTGTGCCTAGGATACGGGGAAGAGACGGGAATCCTGTCACTCCCAGTGATACAGGGTTGTCACCTGCCCGGTGGGTGAAGTCTCTTACAGCTGTGTTCTTACTCACCCACAGAATTGGATCGGGTGGAGAAGGGGAGGCTCGTGAGATAGGTAACCCCTAAATCTGCCACAGATCTCTGAAATTCTACTGACCCTTTGACCATAAGGTTTAGCTCTATCGCAATACTGGTTGGTACTGTAAATCTTTCCCTCCCCCCTCCCCTTTTTTTTTCATTGTGAAAGATTGGAATTATGCCCATCACGAATGAAACTTTTGCTTAAGAAGTCATTGTTCTGCTTCTGTTTTTTGTTTTGTTTGTTTGTTTTTTTTTTTAGTGGCCTATCTTATAATATTCCATATTCTCTTTGTGCTCTTTGTGTGGACGTATTGGAAGTCTATTTTTACTCTCCCGGTGCAGCCAGGCAAAAAGGTAAGAGTCCAAGCACTTTTCATTCATTGCAGAATGAAAGCAGGGATGCTAAAGACAACTCAAAAATCCGTCAACCTAGTTGATCTGGACAACTGATTGGATTTCCTAAAGAGATGGAAAGTGACCCAGAGTTGTCCATAAAAACTGAATAATTTTCCATTCTGAGAATCCTTTAACTCCCCAAAGAGCATGGTTGAAATCAGAGATGGTGTTAACTTTTGAAGCTGCCTTTTCAGGCGTTCCAGGAGTTGATAGGATTTTTCATTTTGAGAAGAATAGGATTGATGATTATTAATGTACATATTTACAGTGTCATTGATCTCTAAGCATTTAGCAAGTTGCAAGCCGAATCCTGAGGACCTTCCTTAACCTAGGCTTACTGGAGTCTCCTGAGTAAGGACCTTCAGTTTTGGTTTTCACTCTTCACGGAAGATGTGAGAGTGCAGGTGGAAACGGGTGCATTTGTAATGGTAGTGGGGCTTCTTGATCTCTTGAGCCAGGCTGTCGTGGTGCGTGTGTGAACATTTGGTGTCCCACCAAAGCCCGGTGCTGCCTGCTCCGCTGGCAGCCTTTGCTGGCTGGAGTAGGCCTCTCCGTAGTCGTTCAGTTTGCTTCATTTGTCAGACTTTCTTGTGGTAGTGAGGGATAGAAGAATCATTTTCCTTTTAAAGATGCTGAGATTCTGCTGTCGCTTGTCTGTGGCAGTGAGGACTGTGGCGATGTGCATAGCACGTGGCTTTTCATTTGGTGCTGGGTGTACACGTGGCTCCAGTAGCTCCAGTGCTTGTACTTCCCTGGTCAGCAGCATCGTGAAAGATGTCACAATACGCTATGGTAAAGAGAAACTGGGGTTTACTGTGCCAAAAGTAGGTTGTTTAACTAATAATACTTTAGGTAAGGGTTTGGTATTGTTTTTTTAACGTGGGTGGCTTATTTTAGGACAAGAGTATGATTTAGTGGTTTGAGCACAGGACAGTCAGAGGCAGACATTAGTTTCAATTCTTTTTCTACCAAATATTTACTTTTTCATGTTGCTTGGATTGGTGGATTTTTTTTTTGCATTTTGTTTTACCTCTTTATGAAATACTAATAAAACACTATGTTTGGAGAAATAGAATGAGGATGATGTTTGTGTGCACTCCAAATATACATGGCTGTAATCGGATACTAATTACAAGAATGTAAATTCAGAAATAACAACTAATCCCAGTTTTAGAAATATAAAACTGTGGCTGGGGACAGGTTCTTGCTCACAAGGGAAGTGCTTAAAGTGTCCTTATCATGGTTAGTAATGTTCTTCATGAAAAATAGTAATCTAAGGCAGCATTAGTACCAATTCTAGTATGTTGTTTTGTGATCCTTAATTTCACTTTTGCGTTTCTTGTTGACGTATCGCACAGTAATCTGGCTGTCCAGCACTTCCTATCTCTCTTTGTCTTCTTAACAAACACATTTGCACATTAGATTAATCTCATTAGAAGGAGCGGGAGGTAAAAACGTTTCCAAACTTGCCTGTATTTGAAATATTATCTCTGCTGCCCATGGGTAACTGCTCCTCTCGTGACTTCTGCTTCTAGTACCATATATCCTATGCTGACAAAGAACGCTATGAAAATGAAGAAAGGCCGGAGGTGCAGAGGCAAATTCTCGCTGAAATCGCAAGGAAGTTGCCGGTGTACACAAGAACGGGGAATGGAGGTCAGCTAAGCCGAGAGCTTTGTTTCTCTAAATCTAATCAAGCATGCTAAAGTAGCGTATGCTGGCAATCCAGATGATGCTGCCGACCAACAGAGCGTTCCTAATGCCACTGTATGCACTGAGTAACTCTTGTGCGAATCATTTTAATGCCTTTTCTCTTGGGTTTTATGTTTGGGAAAACAAAAAAGCCTTGAACACTTCTGTTCATCTTCAGTGGAGTACCTTCATCTTCAGTGGAGTACCAGGTGCTGCCTTTGAGAAGCAATATGCTACCCTTTGTAATTACAATTCAAAAGCCTACTTACATTGTCCGCATTTAGTAATAGTAACAGAATGACAAACTCTGTAGTCATTTTTACTTAAAATGGAGTCTAGCTTAGACATGCGGGACATAATTCTGTGAACAGATTTTTGGACCTCGTTCTGTGATTAAATGCGTACTGCACTCTTTTCAAAGCTTAAATGAAATCCACGTTCATATTGGAGGCTCTGACCCGTTCATTTCTGTCATACAAGGCAAAGAATTCTGAAGTAAAGAACCGCGATAGAGGCTATTATCAAAATGGAATGTATGTAAAGTCTCAGTAAATGTGGAAGCCAGAGGGAGGTGTACAGTTCTGTTTTATCGCTTTTAAGCTGGATGTATGCTTTGCAGTGAGGATTGTTCCCCGCATCTGCAAGTCTCCAGAAGAATGATGAGCATCGCTTATCTGATTATGACCTGGCAGCAAAAATCAGCTGCAAATGCACTCATCTTTTGAAGTGATAGAGGAAAGAATATGAATAGTTAGGAAATGAGCAGAATATTAACTAACGTGAAAAAAAGAACTTGGTATTAATGTGTCTTTAATTTCAGGTGTTCGATTCTGTGATAGATGCCAGCTAATAAAACCTGATCGATGTCACCATTGTTCCGTTTGTGCCATGTAAGTTACCGGATTGTTTTTCACTGAAGTGAATACGGTCACCACTAAGTTATGGGGATGGGCTGGTCCTTCACGTGCCTTTTTACACGTAAGGGTACCCAAGTACCTCTGTTCCAGCCGCAGTCAACAGCGTATGTTCGTGTGTGACAGCATTAGCATTTGCACTTCTGCTGTTTGTGGCCCTGAAGTGTTTGCAGTTCCCACACCTACAAGTGTATCAGCACTAAATTGGTAGAAGGCATGCCATCTAGTGAAAATTAACTGATTAACGTAGGCAGGTTAAAATAAAGTGATTTTGACCCTAACTACAAGTGACTAATGTGTTGGGAGTGGTTTTTTGGGGGGTTTTGGGTGGTTTTTTTATATTCCAGGCCTTTAGCTGTGGTGTTTTGCAAAAGTTTTAAGCCCTCTAGGGCAGAAACCATTTTCATTTCTTTTTCTCTTGCAGAGTACCAAGGGCATTGGTTGATCTTGAAAAAGGGATAAATGTTCCATCTTAAAATGATACCTACCTTAAAAAGTTCAAAGGGACAGTATCCTCTTGAGTTTGTGTCATGTAGAAATCTCACAAAAACCAGAGGCGTTTGCTATTGCTCTGCAGTTGGCAATTAAGTACCAAGTAAAAACCTTCCATTTTCCTTTCTTGTCCTTTTGCAGATGCGTGCTAAAAATGGATCATCACTGTCCATGGTATGTCCTAGATACTGGCTTGTAGTTTTCCGAAAAGAGAGGGGGTTTAAATACATTTCTTCCACAGAATAGTGCCTGTATGCCTCTCTCATTTTAGACGACGCACCGCTTTATGTTGGGAAATTTATAAAATGATTACGCTTTGAAATTGCCTGAAATGTTTGATATTTGGAAAGACAGATTGTTCGTGTTTGTTCCATAAACTATGTGTAAAAAAGCTGTCATAGCGCTAGCTAGTAGTAGTAGTAGTAGTACCAACTGCTACTTCACTCTTGGACTATTACTCAGATTTTAACGGGACTTCACCTTAGCCTTTAGTTTTGGGCATATAACCCTTTCAGCATGCAGCTGGTGGTTGCTTTCAGTAATAATATTTGCATGCAGATTGTTTCTGAAATGATGCCTGCCACCCGTGCATGGTCAGAGACAGGTTGTGTGGGATGGTGCATGGATGAGTTCAGCTTTATCCTTTTTGAGAATTGCTGCCGCTAAATTTCTTAAACTCCTTTTTTTAAAAAAAGTTGGATTTCAGAAATCAGAAGCAACACAAACATTTCCCTACCTGACCCTCCCTGGTAATCCTAAACTGTAGAGGATTTTTCAAACCTGAGCTTGGAGGCAAAGACCTACTGATTTTCTGCGTTCCCTTGTTCCTTTTTGGAGTTGGCCTGTGCATGGAGAACTATCATCACACTGGGGTTTGTTTGTTTTGTATGTAAACAAACAAGCAGTGGTCAGCCTGGCTCCGGAGTTTTGCAAATGAATGAAGTAACCCAGAAATCCCGGCTCTGATTACCTTTGCAGGCGAGAGGCAGGCACTGAGTAATGGGAGCCTGCCCCGTGACAAACGTAGCAGTGGTGCCAACTTTAAAGCAGATTCCACACATGGGAAGTGTCCTTTTACTCGGCATGGCAAGAAGTCCCCAAGTGAAAAGCAAAAAGCCTTTACTTTTCAGTCTGACCACTAAGGGGAGCTATTTATTGACGAAATTGGGTTGTATAATCAAGAGGCTTCATAACACCAAAAAAAAAAAAGCAGTATTCGTTGTGTTAGAACCGTGTGCTGTACATATCCTGACTTCACCTTTGCTTTTGTTCTCTAGGGTGAATAACTGCATTGGATTTTCTAACTACAAATTCTTTCTGCTGTTCTTAGCCTATTCTTTGTTGTATTGCTTGTATATTGCTGCAACGGTCTTCAAGTATTTCATTAAGTATTGGACAGTAAGTCGTGAAATCTGGTTACTTTTTCATATCCTCTGAGTCTGGTGGGGCTGAGTCACTCTTGTTACGGTTCTGCTTTCAGTCAGTGGAGGGTCTGCATTTCGTCCGTAAGGTATTTTCCTGTGCCCTTTTTGGAGCGTAACTCCCACTGTATGTCTGAGATGCACAAAGCGAGAAGCAAAGAGCCTTCAGGAATTTCAAACTGTAGAGTTAGCTTCTGGCAAAGAAGTGATGTCCTTTTCCTGTTCTTGTGTTTGCATGTACGTACCTCAGAATCTTTGGTATCAAAGTGTAATATCCTGGCATTGATCTGTTCATATTTACTGAACAATATCAAAAACCTTGTTCATTTTCTAATCCCCACATGACTCCTCTCTCAATTTAAAAGTTAACTGAAAGAAACTATGTTTCTTATTCAATTATCAGTTATCGTTCATATGCAAGCAATGCCAACTGACAGCTCCAGGAATAGACTGGCCTTTTGTCTCCATTTTCTTTATGTCCCCTCTGCTGCTAACTCCGTATGACTGTGTTGAAGTAACTTCACTTTGCTGTGCTAATTTATTAAATTTCTGTTGGCTGAATGGCTAATCACCTACATAAAATGCCTCCTGAGCTGCTCATGGGACACCAGCAGGAACTGTCT